AGTTGTCGAGACTCACGAGGTGAGTACTCGTCTGAAGAGGAGCTTAGCGAGAAAGTAAGAGGTTTATGGTCAGTGAAAGGGATGGATTCACGACCTTCGATATGATGTTGAAAATGCCGTACAGCACAGTACATAGCTAGGAGTTCCCTACCGAATGTGCTGTGCCTCGGTTCGGTGTCTAGCAACCGTCCAGAGAAAAATGCCAAAGGTTGCCAGGAGTTGTTAACCCATTGTTGTAAGACTCCTCCGATTGCTGAGTCGGATGCGTCTACTGCGATGCTAATGGGTGCTTGAGTGTCCTGATGTGCAAGCATTGTTGCTTTAGCGATGAGTTCCTTAATTGTGGAGAATGCTTTACGTGCGGTGTCGTCCAAATTAATGGATTTCGCATTTCTACGAAGTTGGTCGGTAAGAGGTTTCATGAGTAACGCGCATTTAGGTATGATCGTCGACAGAAACTTACAAGGCCGTTAAACGTTCGTAGTTGCTTGATCGTGGTCGGTTCTGGGTAATCCAGAATTGCCGCCACTTTGGTCCTAACGGGTTGAATGACTTGAGCATCTATAGTGTGTTCTAGGAAGTTAAATGAGTCGGTTCCGATTTGGCATTTCTGAACGTTTACAGTAATGCCGTGGTTTTGTAGTCGTTCGAAAACAAGATCCAGATGCTTGAGATGTGATTCTCTGTCTGGACTTGCGATTAGGCAGTCGTCAACATACGCATGTACGAAGTTGAGACCTCGGAAAACGTCGTCTATGAATCTTTGGAATGTTTGAGCAGCGTTTCTTAGACCGAAAGGCATTTGCGAAAATTAATAGAGTCCGAAGGGAGTAATGATGGAGGTTTTCGACATGTCGTCTGTGGCCATGGAGATTTGGTTATACGCTTTAACCAAGTCGATTTTCGAAAAGATAGTTGTACCTTTCAAGGTAGCTGTCAAATCTTGAATGTGAGGCAACGGGTAACGATTGGGAATGGTTTTCGCATTCAATCGCCGATAGTCACCAGTTGGACGCCAATTGTTGTTGTCCTTTTTAGGGACCATGTGCGACGGAGATGCATATGAGCTGTTTGACGGTCGTATGATTCCTAAGTCTATCATGTGACCGAACTCGTTTTTCTCCAACCTTAGCTTTTCGTGGGCTAGTCGTAGTGCTTTAGAGAAAACAGGTGGTCCTGTAGTCGTGATGTGATGTGTAACGTTGCTGGTTACACACGGTAGTTTCAGTTGCGTTTGTTGTATCCCAGGACACTTATCGAGTAGCGTTTGATAAAGTGGATCTATCGTATGCTTAATTGTGACCGGGGATAATCTGCAACCAGAAAAAGAAGTTACGCAAACGGATAAATTAGTGTTTCCGTCTACCAGCCTCCGTTTGCGCGTATCGATGATTAGATTATGGTGTTGTAGAAGATCCATACCAATGATTTGCATAGAAACATTTGCAACAACGAAAATCCAGTGAATGGGTTTGCGTAAACCCACGTTAAGGTAAACGTACCTTTTGCCATACGTAGTGATAGGTTTTCCGTTTGCCGCCTTTAAGTTTAGAGCCGATTCGTGAAGCCGGTCGTTGAGATTCACTGGGAGAACGCTAACTTCTGCGCCAGTGTCAACGAGGTAGCGAACTCTTGTTGTCACATCTGTGACGTATAACAGACGGCTATGTTCGCCGGCTACAGTTGCCGATAACGCGTGCCGGCTTGGAAGTTTCCCGACTTGTTTTTCGAGTCAGTCGGTTTTGTGTTTGGAAAATGCAGGGTTTACTGCAATGCCCGGAAGACTTTCCATACTGGTTAGGATACCAGCACCCGTCGGGATTATCCGTCTCTCGTGGTCTAGAGACAGATCGCTTACGTGAAATGCTTCTACATGGGGTGTGTGATCACTTACAGATGTTGCGAAAATTAAGATAACGCGTAAGTGTATGACATAACTCGGTTGTGTCATTCTGAGTCGTTTGAGGCTTTTCTTTGACTGAAAAAACCTCGGTAGTAGAAGATTTCGTAATTTCTAAGATACGATCGGCAGATGCAGCCAGCTCATCTAAGGCGTTGTTCTGAAACGAGACCAGAACCGCTTGCACCTGTTGCAACATGTCCGTCGCAGAACCATGCTGCAGGTCTATGTTATTAAAGAGTTGGTCTAACCTTTCTCGATCGGTTAGATCTTCTCGTTTAAGAATGGAACGCTCTAAGGTTTCGTACGGGTCAGAAACATCACTAGTAAACATACTAGATGTTACGTACCTGTTGAATCCCCGCGGTGGTGCCTTGACTACTGCGAGGAACTGTGCACGTGTGTCATTCACGCCGTGCTCGTGAAAGTCGGCTTCTGCGTAGCGAAACCAGGCTTCGATATTGTCGGGCCGGAAGGGCAGGAGTTGGAACGAGGGTGGGGACATGGTCTTAATCTTAAATACCTTAGGAGTCTGTTCGATCATAGGTGAAAATTAAGTACGAGAATATTAGAGAAAAATATATAGATATCCTGAGACACGGGGAAAAATACCACAATGTATAAAAAATTAAAATAAAGCAATGACATTTACGATCCCAAAATGGGACAGACTCACAGTTTACGATTTGCTGTACCAGATCACGTCGGTCTCACCAATGAAGATGGCACAGGTATTCAGTGTTTGGCAACGCTTTTACCAGCAACACCTTCTATTATAACTCGTACCCATCAAGAGAAATCAAAAGACAGAGTCGAGGAGATCAGAAGTTGTATTTGACGATTGCCAATATATCGGAATTTTCTGATCCAATCTGGCTAGCGATTGCGGTAGATGTTGAGTACGGCGTTCCCACACGTGATCTGGTACGGATGCATGACCGAGCGTCTTCAGCTAGGTGAGTCCACTAAAACTAATCTGGTCAGCATGCAATGTCGAAAACTTACAGGGCTATTTGTTTTGGGGATTTATTTACCACTACAGTTTCATTTCGTGTCTTGGTTTGGGTGCTGATTTAATTTTAGTATTGATTTACAATAAAACTACAACCTGATTTAAATACATTTGTCGATGCCCATCACGACGGGAGTGGTACGCTTACATTTACCCCTCAGATCCATGGTAAACAGATGTTTACTTTACGTAAGCCTAAGAATTATGAGCGCTTTCTTGTTGTCGTCAAGTGAGCTTCAAATGTCACAAACCCGGTAGTACAAATGCATATCCAATGATATTGATGAATTACTAACCACTAATTATGGTACTTCTCATCAGAGAATTCACTTAATAAAACTGATGCACAGCGACCAACCTGCTACAATATAAAAAGGTAAACAACCAAACGTAAGAATACGAAGTAAACAAGTAACTAGAGTGTAGCAGCTAATAAATTCCCCAAAAAGACAGTTCTGTAGGTCTTTGGCATTTGTGCTGAACTCATTAGACTTGTTGGATAACCAAATCTATCTATCAAACATCCTCTTCAGATCTCCTCGCCGTGCATATATCATATACTATGTTTAACATCGACTATCTTCCAAGTATATCTTCGTACACTTCATTCAAGACTTCATGTTTGACTGATTTTGATGTTCTCGACTATAAAGATATTACTAACAATGTTGTCAAGCACTTAATATCCGTAAACTCTTTAAATCCACACTCCACAACTCTCTTGTTATCTCAGAATATGAAGTAAGTTTTGCGCGATGTTCTGAAACTATCTTACTACAACTCATATCTAGATGGAAGATTTAATAAAGTTAATAACTGACAAAGCTACTTTATGTTGCGACAGTTCTTTTAACCACTAGTGGATACTATAAACTGCATCCAAATCTAGAACTGTGATTGTCTTACTGTCATCTAGCAAACTTAGTCACAGTGTTAGAATTTATACTTCAACAAAGCAAGTGCAATCGGATTAAGTCGTTCATGGCAGATGATAACCGGTGTTTTCAACGTGGCATCGTCGCCGATTCCATAAGGATCAGTCATGCATAGACCAAAACGTGATACTACAGATCATCGTTGGGTAATCAGTTGGATGGTACTCATCACTATACACCAACTTCCCTGACTATGAGAAAGCGTTTGACACTGTGAAAGAGAGAACCCTATAGAGCCTTCTTTGACACTACGGTATACCTGAGAAAATCGTCAACATCATACAGAATTCATATAACGGACTACACTGCAAAGTGGTGCGGGTAGACGCATTCCAAGTGGGAACCAGAGTCAGACAAGGCTGCTTACTCTCACCCATCCTCTTCCTTCTGGTGGTCGACTGGATTATGAAGACCTCGACATCTGGGGGAGCAAGGAATTTAATGGACAGCCGGGATGCAAGCGGACGACTTGAATTTCTCAGACAAGCTTTCAGCTGAAGAGGAAATCAGAATAAAACGTTAGACGTGGATAAGACACACATTTAGAAAATCATCAAACTGCACCATGAAGCAAGCATTAACATGGAACCCTGAAGTGAAACGAAAAGAGGAAGTCCAAAGAACACATTGAGCTGAGAATTGGAGGCAGAAATTGTGAGGAGGAATAGCGACTTGAAGCAACTGAAGAGGATTACCCAGAACAGAGTTGTATGGAGAATATTGGTGGGCAGGCTATGCTCCTCCACAAAGCGTAACAGGTTTAGGTAAGTTAGTCACTCTGAATATTTTTGGGCTTTACATAGCTTTGCAGACCACAATGTACACTGGTGTATATTATGTTGGTTTACAATTTCAAGTGATTTAAGCGATGAGAGACTTGATCCAATCAATCCTCAGTCAAAATAACTTCACAAGGTAGCAAGAAAAAATTGAGATAAGTTCATAGCTGTCAAGCTGTTTGGCGGTATGTCCTCAAGTTTTAGCAGTTGTCTGTATTTTTACGCAACCTTAGGAAATGTGACTTAGTCTATTTTGAATATCTGTACTGCCACGAGCGAATCTACCCTTTTCGTATATCATGTCCCCTAAATGTCTATAATCCAAGCACACACTGTAAATAACATTCAGACCTCGGTTTCAACCGAAAAAGTTTAAACATATAAGACGCGGCTGAGTTAATGGTCGCGCAACGTGTTAGGATTTTTATGTAGTCCTAACACATTCTGAATACAATCCTGCTACCTTTCAGTTCGAACTATCAAGTTCTTTCAGTCTCACTTGTTGATGTAAATTATCGTCGATCTTCACCGCTAAAAGTGAGTTAATGTACTTACTGATTTGACGGCCCTTATGAGCCTTTTAAGGTTAAATAAAAAAAAGTGATCAGATTGATTAGGTCTCATAATTTTGCCATGAGAATATGATCACTGCTGTTCCGCCAGATCCCTACTCAAACATTGTAAAGACAAATCTTTCATATGGGTTTAACCTAGCAGAAAGCATCCACGTTAATTTGACCGGGAAGATAACTTCAAAACAAATGGTACATCTTGTGCAAACTAAGACGTCACATCAGAGTGATTCCACATTACAAAACAGCAACAAGTTTTCGATGTTCTGTTTATCCGTTTAGTAAAGAGACAAAATCGCTTATAAAACTGCTCATAGTCATATTCATTGTACAACTGCAGCGAGAAAAAATTGTTACATAACTCTGTTTCAAGTCATAGTCGCATATTTTCGATATCTTTTCTATCTGGTACTGACCGTATGTAATCTGCCGTAGCCAATTTATCTCCATCGACATGTTAGTAAATTTTCCAGGACAGAGCAAGTTGCCTTATGATAGACATGCTCTCCCTCTCATCTCTTTAGCTGTACAACTAGCTATTCAGTCAATAATCTCTTTGGAGTGCAGATCAACGTATGTTCACGGTAACTGGTGAACTTAAGCGACGATAGAAATGAAGAAGAATAAGTGTAGAATGCAGTAGTAGATAGTATAATAATAGGTTGCGTTATTCGAAGTCTTGCTCACCAGTGTAGATCACCAACGTAAATGGTGTGTCGAATGGTCGGGGGCCAACTAACGTTAAAGTAACACATTACGGTTAGCGCCTAACGTGGATTAACATTCGTCGTATCTAAGTACTGTTGCTATCTTAATGACCGTGCGGCCCGAATCACGTCATTACAAAAATATATTGGTAAGGATAGGTACAAGGAATCGAGTGCGACCGCCACCACATGGGCCAGTTCATGGCGTGCAATTAACTGATGCGTGTTAGTTGTCGTTGACCTTAACGAGGACCGGTGCACTGCTCGATATTCGGTGACCCTACTACCGGATAATTTGGCTATGGCCCAGTGACATTTCACTGCCTATACATGAATAATGTCCTCGTTTTTCTGACGAATTACGATTTATAGTAATTGGCTGACTAACTGTGATCCCTGTATCAAACCATGCTTTTATAGCTATGAAGATATCAAAATACTATCCTGCGTGGTTGTTCTATGTAACCCACCTTGAATTGTGATTCCCCTATCATTTCTCAGTTTCTGTCCACAATGGTCAATGTATATACTTATGGCCTTCATCGAAAGTTTTTTTCGTAGTCTGTTATTTCAACTACTTTCATGAATCGCTGAAAAATGACAATGCAGCTATTTCTATAAAGTTTGATAAATGGTGACACGATACTATCTAGAAAAACCAAACTCAGGGAATTCTACAGCTAACAAATTTTGTTTGAGTGATAAGCCAAAACCCCAAGTCAGGAAAATGTAGGTATGCTACTCTAGTTACCGTTTCATGAAAATAAAGTAGTTTGTATGATGTGCTTTCGACTCCCGAATTAGTAGATGAGTTGCATTCAAAAGCAATCTTGGTGTTTGAAGTTTAGTTGTAAAGATTTATATACATACATATGTTTCAACTACTTTGTTTTAGGTTTTTGGGAATTAATTGATGGCCACTAATCGAACAGCTCACGTTATTGTGCTTGGTGATCTCTCACGATCACCAAGAATATTATCCCAAGCTCAGTTTTTGGCTCGTGATGGTTGGGATGTAACTATATCAGGATACAAAACTGAAATAATAAACCCGTTGAATTTTAAATTGAAAGTCCTGGGTATACCTATGTGTCCGAATTTCAAAGCTCTACATTTCCCTTCGTTTATGGTTTTTATCCTCAAGGTATGTTTAGTTTTCCTTTAACCATGTTAACTTTAGTTTATTTTTACGGCTGTAGCACTCTTCTGTCATCTTACTAGACACTGCCGTAGCCGTTTAATTTTGGTTCAGAATCCTCCTGCAGTACCAACTTTTTTGATTTTATGGTTATTTATCAAGATTACGGGGAAGAATTTAGTTATTGACTGGCACAACTATGGTTATACTCTTGTGGAGCTAAATGCGCCTAGAAGAAGTTTATTCACGCGGTTAGCAAACCTATTCCATTTATATCCATATTAATATTTGTAGGTTGTACTACAAATTGGAAGTTGACTTTGCAAGTCGCTTTATGTCCAGAATGTCCGATCGTGTTGCGAACATTTGCGTATCCAAAGCTTTAAAGTACGATATGGGAATGAAATCAATAGAAGCAACTGTTTATTATGATCGTCCTGCAGAAGAATTCAAACCTACACCTGTAGATGTTGCCCACTGTCTGTTCTTGAAGTAAGATCATTCAGTAGTCTATTTTCCGGTTAATTAGTAGTTTTTAAATATTAATCTGTAATCAATAACATTTTTTCGGTAAATGTTTTATTGAGGTTATTTCGTAAATTTATTTTTGTCCTATATGTAAAAATAATGCTACATTATTCACTAGTTATCAAGATATAAACTTAACTCTCTGAAACTTAATTTTATTTCGGAATTATATGGTTGCTAATTTTAAAAACCCCGCTTCTCATATTAACTGGAAACTCCGAGTAGACCCATTAGAGTTGAACTCAGTGACGAGGAAACCAAAAGCACATCGCAGGAACAACTGAGGTCACACTCAGGCAGCTCTGGAAAGATAGATGATCAGCTGTGGAAACAGCAGTGATATCTACTGGTGATTTCAATCAAAGGGTTGTGAAAAACCAGTGAATTCCTGTCACATTTATTTCATTGATAGGCTCTCGTAAACTTATCCCGTCAGGCTCTAAACACAATGATGAGCGAAAACAAATCAAATCTAGGTTAACGAGAAGTCTACGGAACGATCGTGAGCAGTAATAGGCAACGAAAGCAAGAGATGAAAAAGCAGCAGCTGCAGGTAACACAAAATAGCTTTACTGACTAATGGAAGAGACCGGAATTTAGAAGTCAAGTGTAAGTGAGACAATCGCCGACAAAGACGACACTCTTATCCGCCCTCAGTCCAGACGTCTAGAATGATGGGCGGAGCAGTTCCATTGGTCTACAGCTACCCACCATGCCCAAACACCCTGGAGCCCCCAAATGCCCTGGTACGGCCGAGAGTGAGGGGCCGCCCTCCCTCACGGAATGTTCTCACACGGTCACGTGTATACAGCCTCTGCCAGGGAAGTCCTACCCACTGCCTTCTCGTAGCGGGGGTGTTGTTTACGAAATTGAGAGGACGAAAATCGAATGTCCGGCGCTTTAACCGGGCCGGTGGACACGGTAAGTCCACCTAGGGGAGTTGGGAAACCCTGATTGCAAACCATTGGTGCACATGGGCTCCAGTACCCTGAGGGAACAAATGGCGTATGAACCAATCGTCGGTCACCGGCTACCATGGGACTGCATCTCCTCACGATGCTCAACTGCATTGTGGGTCAGACCTTTAGGTCAAAGGCTCAGGGTGTGGCCCCATAAGAAAACCACCTGCTTCGGTCTGGGCACCCGGGCAGTATCACAGCCCACACACAAATAAAATGAAATTACAATACTAGAAATACTATTCTTGTTCCAATTAAAATCCAGACAACTCATATCCATTTGATAACATTGTTATTTTTCTTATATACTACGCCACTGATATACTCTTTTATTCCCACTTTGTGTATCCTTATTTTTCAACTTATACAGCAGCTCGCCTATGGGTGAAACTTCTGTGTGATGCATATATATCTGGTGCTCCATTGTACCTATATTTATGTTCAAATAAATAAGTGAGACACCCTGAATGGAACATTGAAGTAGGCCTCTGAACTCTGATTGAATATCAAAAAGCTATAGCTAATCTGAAACGACGAAGAGCAGCTGGTCCAGATGGATTGACTCCAGAGGTCTTTAAGTGTGGTGGTCCGATTTCAGCCATTAGGTTGACTAATATTTTAGCTAAGATCTGGGAGTTGGACGTTATTCCATCTGACTGGTTGCAATCGCTTATTGTCCCAATATATAAGAAGGGATCAAATTCATCCTGTGACAACTATAGAGGGGTTAGTTTAACTAATATAGTATCTAAAATACTAGCCTCAACAATTATCAATCACATATTCACCGTTCGTCAGATCTTAGAACACAGGCATACTTATCGGCGTCCGACAATCGTGGTCTTTCTTGACTTAAAAGCAGCATTTGACTCGGTAGACCGCGAGATTCTGTGGTAGTATCTGTCATTGAAAGGCGTACCCCAGAAGTACATAAACCTTATGAAGGCTCTTTACTCGAACACTACTAGTCGAGTGAGAGCCTATGGCGAACTGTTATCTGCTTTTGCAACCTCAAGTGGTGTCCGTCGAGGCTGTCCACTTTCTCCATTTTTGTTTAACTTCATCATAGACCTACTGATGGAAATAACATTCTCATCGGCTGAATTCTCGGGTGTTGATCTCCTTTCGGGAGGTCCACTTATTGACTTAGAATACGCAGACGACATAGTCTTGTTTGGTGAAAATGCTGATAAAATGCAGTCTTCTGGTAGCACTAAGCAACAATGCCAGAATGTTTGGAATGCGCTTCTCACCCTCTAAATGCAAGCTGCTGCTTCAGGACTGGTGTGCGTCAACACCTGAACTAAGGATAGGGAGTGAAGTAGTCGAAAGCGTTGACAACTTCACTTATCTTGGAAGTCCGATCAGCTCTAATGGGTTTGTGTCTGACCAAATCTCTGCGTGAATTCATAAAGCTCGTTTAGCTTTTGCCGACTTACGTCACCCATGGCGAATGCGAGATATCCGTCTATCAACAAAAGGACGAGTATACTGCGTGGCAGTTTGTTCTGTCCTACTTTATGACTGCGAAACCTGGCCATTAAGAGTAGAAGATACTCGTAAGTTACTAGTATTTGATGACAGATGTCTCAGAAATGTTGCTCGCTTCTGCTGGGATAGTGATGTTAGACGCAGGGCATTAGGGAACGATGGTGAATCAGCTAATGAGGTTGTGAATCTTCATCGTCTGAGATAGTTGGGCCACGTTACGTATGTCTGAACACCGATTACCACGACGTGCTAACCGGTGTTGGAGATGGTTGGAAGAAAGTTAGGGGCGGCCAAACCAGAGCGTGGCATCAGTCCTTGAAGTCACTAACTTCTGGCCTGAGCTATGTTGGTAGATGCAGACTACTTGGTTGGGGTCCGCGTGACTATCGTGACCAATGTTTGGAGACTCTTGGTGACATGGCTCAGAATCGATCACAATGGCGTTGGTGTATACACTCTCTGTCTTCCCTTAAACTATGAGATTAAAATCACTTCAAATCTTTCTTCCTATACTATATCCTTATATGCAATCTTTCTTTTATATATTACCACCATTGACTTGACCACTCCTCTGAATCCGGTGTTTGTTTTGTTGTGCTAAAGCGGTATGGCAACTTGGATCGATGCATTTATGTGTCCGGTCCCAAGTTGAAGTTGACTGACTGTATTAAAGCCACTTCGTAGGAGTGAACCTCACTCCGTCACGAACCAAGGCTCAGATTTCATCACATAAGATTGATAACAAGAAATTATTACCTGTTCGTATCGTTGACTTGCTGTTTATCACTAGTGGTTACAAATGCGAGTTAGTGTATATTTACGAATGTGAAGTCGAAAAAGTCATTATTGTACTAATAAAGCACCGACTATATTAGCTAATTATTTCCGGAAAGTTAGTTTCGATATTTCCCTAGTGTTTCTTGACAATTTTCTCAACTCGGGTTTATTAAATTTTTAGACTCAGCGATCAATACTCAGCGTTTAGAAACAAACTAGATTCATGTCGATTCACACGCTTTACTGAGATAACTGCTCTACCGACTAATACCAAGAACAATGAGCCCCATTGGCGCCCAGATCGCCCAGCATTGGTTGTTAGTAGTTGCAGCTGGACACCTGATGATGACTTCACGTTGGCAATTAAAGCACTGGGAATCTACGACAAGGCAGCTGAAAAACCAGATTCAGGTTTACCCAGTATTGTGTTTGCTGTAACAGGTATAGTTTTACGCTAAACTGTGTTCAGTCTTGTTGTCTTAGACATTTTTAACCTGTTCTGACTTATTGTTCTCGTAGTGTGGCTGGTTTTATCTATAAGATCCATATTTGTCAAATTAGTTATGGTATCATCATAGATCAATCGTTCACACATAAACTTTTCTTATTTTCTAATGGCTTCGCCCCTTCCACTCTCGTCTTAGGTGCATTCTATCTAATGTTGTGTTATCTGCATCCCATCTTCATTACATGTATGTAGTTAATGACAAGAAGGCATATTCCTTATACTCCCCTAAACCTATCCAAATTTGCAACGAAAAAACAAGGCCTTAAGTATCGCATCAAACTCTAAAAATCTATCTAAATAATAGCAGTATTTTAGGTTTCCTTTCATCCCACTTATCAGAAAGGTGCTCCTAAATATTTATGTCCAAAGGATCTGTAATCTTACTTAGTCTGTACAACAGATTTCAAAACACTTCTTGATTACTTCGAGTGTTGTTTAAGATCTCAGATAATTTCAAGTCACTTATAAGTATCTTTACCAAGGTTTGACTTGATAATTTCGAATAAATTGAGCATTGAGTAGATTGTTATAAATAAAATAATATATTTGCGTGCACATAATATTCTTGCGTTGTAACAATTACAATTTACGCCTGTTACTCCTCGTGGAGGAGCATAAGCCACTCGCAATCCAACCCTGTCCTGAGCAGTCCTTTCCAGTTCTTTCTAGTTGCTATTCGTCGCTCTCAAGTCTGCTGCCAATTCCCGACGCAGTGTGTTCTTCGGTCTTCCTCTCCTCTGTTTCCTTTCAGGATTCCATGTTAGTGCTTGCTTCGTGATGCATTTTGATTATTTCCGTAATGTATGTCCTATCCAATTCCAACATCGTTTCCTAACTTCCTCTTCAGCTGGTTTGTCCTCTTCCAGAGTACGCTGTTACTGATGGCATCCGACCAATGAATGTTGAGTATCCTAAGTAGACAGCTATTTATAAATACTTGCACCTTCTTGATGATGGTTGTTGTAGTTCTCCAAGTTTCAGCTCCATACAGTAGAACTGCCTTGATGTTCGTATTGAAGATTCTGACTTTGATATTGGTTGAAGGTTGTTTTGAGTTCCATATGTTCTTCAATTGTAAGAATGAGGCCCTTGCTTTGCCAATCCTCACCCTCACGTCTGCATCTGAACCTCCTTGTTCATCGATGATGCTTCCTAGGTATGTGAAGGATTCTACATCTTCCAGAGCTTCGCCGTCAAATGTGATTGAGTTGGTGTTCTCCGTGTTGTATTTGAGGACCTTGGTTTTCCCCTTGTGTATGTTGAGGCCTACTGATGCAGAGATTGCTGCTACACTGGCTGTCTTTATCTGCATTTGTTCGTATGCATGGGATAGAAGGGCTAGATCATCTGCGAAGTCCAAATCGTCTGATTCTCCGCCTAGAGCTCTCCTATTTACTGCCGGTCCCAAGCCCGGGTAAAGGATGAGGGTTGGTCATGTAGTTGGCAACCCTATGCCGTAGGAAAAATTTTGGTAGAAAAATGCCAACCAGATTAAACAAATTAAACCATTTAAACTCTGCTTTGGGAATTAAAGGAAAAATTATGACGCCTCGGGATGAAAGTTGAGATTCTTTGGAAGTCACGAGGCCGATGCCCCTTCTGACAACCAGAGCAACAATTTTTATAGGTACATAGAACGTTCAGACAATGTGGGAGACCGAGAGGAAATGCTGAGATACAGCTTGGAAGTACTCGGAATCAAAGAAACCTATTGGACCCAAGTTGGACAGCAAAAGCTCGATACGGGAGAGATGCTTCTGTACTCCGGTCAAGAAGAGAAAAATGCTCCACACACACGTGTTGCTCCAATACTATCCGAAGTAGGATGAGAATCTCACGGATCCAGAATCACCAAAGCATCATTCAAAACAAAGAAAGAGGGGATCACAATCAATGTCATCCAACGTTATGCACCCAACAATGATAACAACGACGACAAAAAAGATCAGGTCTATTAGAGGCTGCAATCAATCATAGCGAAGTGCCCAAGAAAGGCCCTCACCTTCCTAATGGGGGATCTAAACGCCAAAGTGGGAATGGACAACACCAGATATGAAGATATCATTAGACGACATGAACTGGGAGAGAGAAACGGAAATGGGAGAGATTTGTGGACCTCTGTGCACTCAACAAATTGATTATTTGTGGCACAAAATTTTCCCCTCTTGCGTTGTTCCTTTGTACTATTTAAACTTGGATTAATTTTGATTTGGTTATTTATCCTATGAAGAAGTGGCTTACACTGAGTCGCAAAATGTCAGAAAATTTTTTTTCTAATCATTGGGATATTACAAGTACATTGCTTTATTTAAGTCACTCAGTCTAAAGTACCACAGAGGTGATTTAGAGTTTCTATCTGAATGTGACACAACTATTGTCATGTTATTTTACTTCCCTTGCTTTAGGTCGTGGTCCACTACAAAGCTACTATGCAAAATTAATAAAAGAGCAAAAGTGGAAACATGTGGAAGTCATTATGTTGTGGCTTGAGTGGTCAGATTATCCCGTTTTTCTTGGATGTGCTGACTTAGGACTTAGCATACATCGAAGTTCCTCGGGACTGGATTTACCCATGAAAGTGAGTTTGAAGTATTTTCAGATATTACAAAGAAGTAGTATGTGTAATCTTAAAATGTCACCCTACGTAATATGTAACCACGAAGTGGGGTTATTGCCAAAATAATTTTTAAACAGAGAAACGGATAAGTAAACCTATTTCTGTATTTACAGACGAAGCTCTGTATGGTTGCATTTCGGGACAATACCGTCATTTTGTTATTTTGAAGTCGAAAAGGCTCTTAGTTTCCTAAAGAATGCTTACCAGATAGCTATACCATAAACTAGTCCAATCGTGTGTTCACACAAGTTTTTACGTGAGTATAAAGAACAGAAGTACACTCTAGAGGTATAGTCATTTTATCTTAACTCTAGTTCCAAAAACCTAGAATGACCAAATATAGAATCCAAAAGCTTTACTATTAAGATTCAACTTTTCAATATATATACCCATGTAGATTTCCACTTATTACTAACCACCAATTATTTTAACCTAACATCCTTGAACACATTTCGTATGGGTATTTTTTTATTGTATGTTTAGGTAGTTGACTTACTTGGTGTGAACGTCCCTGTCCTGGCGCTAGGTTATACAACACTCAGTGAATTGATGGAGGATAATAAATATGGCTTATTTTTCGAAACTGGCGAACAATTAGCTGATCAAATGTGCGACTTGTTGAAACCACCCCGTAATTCTACAGTCCAATATACTTATGAAGCTAGCCGTTTTTTATCTGTTGGGTCAGAAAAATTAATTCATTTCCGCGAATGTTTAGCTGAAAGAAACAAACACCTGATTAGAGGATTTACCTACTGGAAAAATACTGCATTACCAGTGTACGAAAAAGCAGTTCATACTAATCCCTATAAAAACAAAGATAATTAGATGGTAATACATAATACGAATCTTTTGTGTCACTTGTTTACTTGATTTCGACAACCCTAGTTTCTACTTATTTATTTATTTGAACACATGAATATTGGTACAAGAGAGCGCCAATATATATGCGCCACACAAAACAATGAGAATTCGAAGAGAAATAGAAAAAAAAGCCAAGGAGCGCAAAAAAAGAGAACAATAACGAAGAGATTGGTGTAAGGTAGTGTGGTAGTAATGAGGGAACGGAAAGGTACAATCAGAAGAAATCTTTCAGGTAAGGGAGACACAACCACTTTCTATGAAGAAAGTAAAAGAAGGTTACAGCAGGATCGCCACTGGCTTCTATTCTGAGCCATATCTGATAACGTCTCTAGCCACTGTGTAGCACCATCTCTCAGACCCCAACCAGGGAGTCGTGAAGGACCAACACAAGCCAGTCCTTTGCAGCTTTCTTTCATGCCACGACACCATGTCATGCACTGACCACCTCTCTGCTTTTTCCAACCAGTCCCAGAGTCGGCAAATAATGTACGACGTGGAATTCTCTGGGGCGACATTCGTAGAACATGTCCAAGCCACCGAAGTCGGTGTTTCAAGATGGTGACACCAATTGAATTATCATCTCTGTGCCCGAACACACGATGCCGAACCTCTGCATTACTAACATAGTGTCGCTATCGGTTGTCAGCAGTCCTTCGGAGAAAACGATGATCAAACACATAGGGTCGTTTAACATCCTCAAATCAGAGGCCAGGTTTCACAAGCATAGAGCAGAACTGCTCTCACTGTTGCGTTGTAGATCCGACGTTTTACAGCCGCTCTGGCTTTCACTATACGTGCATTGATTTCATCACTCACTCCACCACCAGCACTTATGTAGCTATCTAGATACACGAACATCTCGACTACTTCTATCTGCTCACCATCCAGGGTGAGTACAGGATTAGAATCCTGCCAGTCTTGTAGAAGTACTTTGCACTTCGAAGGTGCAAAGCACATACCATACCTACGGACACTGATTGCCAACTGATTAAGTGCGGATTGCATGCCTTGGGCATTATCGCACAGTAAGACAATATCGTCCGCATACTCAAGGTCGAGAAGTCTTTCTCCAGGCGACAGATCCACACCACCATTACCTACATCCATCAGAGCTGTTTCCAGAATGTCATCGATGGCAAAGTTGAAGAGGAATGATGAGATTGGGCAACCCTGCCTAACCTCACTGCTCGTATGGAACAATGGAGAGAGGTGGTTGTATGCCCTCACTCTGCCTGAGGTGTTTGTATATAGGGCCTTTAGGATGTTGATAAACTTCTCAGGCACACCCTTCTTCAATAGACAATCCCAGAGAACAGCCCTGTCCAACAAATCGAAGGCAGTCTTTATGTCAAGAAACACTACGATTGTTGGCCTTTGATAAGTATGGCGGTGTTCTAACATTTGGCGGAGGGTGAATATATGAGCAATACATCCTCGACCAGAACGAAAACCAGCCTGCTCCTCGCGAGTCAATCTTTCTCGGGTTTTAAACAAACTACGAAGTATGACGGAAGCCAATAGCTTGGACGCAATCGGAAGTAGACTTATCCCCCGATAGTTGTTACAGGAACGACGTGAACCCTTTTTAAAGATAGGGACAACTATCGACTCATTCCATGACGTTGGTACACTTTCTAGTTCCCAAACCTTTGTCAACAACGTCGTCAATTCCTTAGTCAAAAAGTCACCACCATCTTTAAAAAGAGCCGGAGGTGTCATCTGGGCCAGGTGATTTGTAACGCTCCAAGAGTTGGAGTTCCTTGCGGACTTCCTCCTCATTTGGTGGATCAGTCGTCACCGGCCATGGAGGGCAGGACAGTCTGACCGATGTTGCCGGAGCAGCAGGCCAGTTGAACTGCCCTTCGAAAAATTCTGCCCATCGTCCAAGACGTCGATGGATGTTAGTGATTGGCATCCCATCATCCTCGCAGATTGTTTCACTCACACCAGACTTCTTGCTGCCAGTGGCTCGGATGAGCTTCCGGCAGTTACCAGATGCAGCTGCTGCTTCCAGCTCATTAGCACGCATCGACCACCAGGCTTCTCGGTCCTTACGCAAGCTTTGCCCAATTTCCTCACGTAACATCCTTCGTTTATGGTCAAACTCACGGTCACCCGGAGTAGACCGGCGGGCTTCAATGAGTTGTAAGGAACCAGAAGAAACCCAGTGCTTAAAAGCGGGACGTCTCACAAACTCACAATTGACTGTTCCCGCCATTTTCATGGCGTCATGCAATTGCAACCAATGCTCATCTATACGTTTCGGTGGAGTGGTAGCTAGCCTAGAGGCTAGCTCGGTTCGATACTTACTTGCAACAGAAGTTGCAACCAGCTTGCTAATATCAATCCGTTGATGGCGGTCACTTCGTTGTCCACTGAAAAGTAAGACAAGATTGGCGCAGACCAAGGCATGGTCAGAGTCCAGATAGGTACTCCAAAAGGAGCGGCAGTCCTGTACACAACCACGCCAGCGGTAGCTGATCGCGGTGTGATCAATCTGAGTCCAGGCTTGAGATGCAGAGGGAGGACGCCAGGTGGCATATCGACGATGACTGTGCCGAAAGTTAGTGCTAGCCAGAAACAGGTTGTGGTCTGTGCAAAGTTGCAGTAGACTGTCCCCGTTATCTGACCTGCGACCAACGAGTCCCCATCGGCCACCTAAACGACTCTCTTCTGTGCCTAGACGCCCGACCTGAGCATTCAAGTCTCCGGCTAGTACTACAATATCTGTCGAACGCACTTTCTGGAGAACAGATAACTGGTGGTAAAACTCATCCTTGATTGCATCCGGGCTGCAATCTGTCGGGGCATAGGCGATGACGAAAAGACATCGTTTCTCACGCCGATTTCTTCTCACTTTGATGGAACTTTCTAATCTAACAGCACATAACCGACTGTTAATGGGGATCTAATCGACTAGTGCTGCCTCAGCTCTAGCGCTTAGTGCGACACCAACGCCAGCAAGACCAGACGAAGATGCCACAGGGTCCCTGGATAAGCGCACGTAAAACAAGCTTTTCGAAGCGACAGATGGAGATCGAATTTGTAGTACTTCGCCAGAGTCTTGAATATGGGTCTCGGATAGACAGCAGACATCGATAATGAAGACTTTCCAAAGACATAGCCAGCCCTATCTGTTGTCCAACCTGCATAAGTGTGCGAACGTTGAAGGCAGCCAGTTTGAATGGCGCACGTGGTTTCAGAAAAACTGCTTCAGTACTCATATTCGGTGGTAACATACAATTTTCAACCGGACAGTGACTCGAGAACGTTTAGATACAGTCGAATTTCCACCAAAGACGAGCCGCTGTATAAGTATAAAAGAGGGTGAATAATGTGGAAAATAATAATGACAATAATAGTATTAATAATGACAATAATTGTAATGATAATAATTTGAATCAATTGATTGTTTTTCGAAGCGAGAAAAGTAGTTCCCATAGACATAGTTCATCATTTGTGTGTGGGCTGTGATACTGCCCGGGTGCCCAAACCGAAGCAGGTGGTTATCTTAGGGGGCCACTCCCCGAGCCTTTGACCTAAAGGTCTAACCCACAAGGCAGTGGAGCATCGTAAGGAGATGCAATCCCATGGTAGCCGGTGACCAGCGATTGGTTCATACGCCATTTGTTCCCGCAGGATACTGGAGCCCATGTGCACCATTGGTTTGGGATCCGGTTAAAGCGCCGGACATTCGATTTTCGTCCTCTCATTTTCGTAAACAACACCCCCGCCACGAGAAGGCAATGAGTAGGACTTCCCTGGCAGAGGCTGTATACGCGCGGCCGTGTGAGAGTATTTCGAGAGGGAGAGCGGACTATCCCCACTCTCGGCCGTACCAGGGCATTCGGGATTAGCAATTACGTTAGATTTTCAAACATACAATCGATTGGTCACTGAATAGTGGTCATCGTCACATGTGTTCAGTCCTATCGTGTTGGTCGAATTCTACCGATCAAGTCGCAGTATGGCCACTAGTGTAAATGATTCGATATCACGTGCGTTATGTTGATGTGTTAGGTGTTTGGAAGCAGTTGACAGGAAATACTATTGGACGTACGTCTACAGCTAGTTGTTAGTACTTATTTACTTTTCTAATCAGTGTAGACCCTTAAAATAATTGGAAAATCTGGATAATTTTCGATGACGCCCTCATATCTAATCAGATTCAATCACATGGAAGGATTTTATTTGCACTATGTTCTTTGGGATAAAAAGACAAATTTGAAAGTCAAGCCGAGTATATTTTACACTATCAGTAGAATACCATACATTCATTCGTTGTTAAAATGAGATTTTAGGAAAAATTATACGATATAGAAAAAGTTTAGGTAGTCATTGTTATCAGTACTAACTTGAAAGCACGATAATTTGGTGACCCTACCTAGAATCTAGTCGAACTCTGCAGGACAATAATTATTACCAACATAAGTAAAATCAAAAATAAGAAAGTATAAAATAATTGTAACATTAAGCCTAATAAATTATCTCTGAGCAAAATAGCATTATTTATATTACTGAAAATAAGTGCTTACACGTCTCTCTAAACACGAGGCATAAAGTGCTTCCATATTTCATATGAAATATGTAGACGGTTTTCCGTTAAAGTGAGTAATAGCGTGGCTGTTGCTTCAGTCATTTCAGGGTGCAAACTAATTAATTCCCTCACATTTTCATCCACAGATCTTGTTTGGCATTTGATGAGATCACAATGTGACATACCGGAGGGGATCGTATTCTTGTTAGACAAATTGTCTGAAGAGCAGTCCGTGTGGTTCTTATCATTCGATAACGATTCACAAATGAGATCTGGGTTTGCACTTATGTTCTGTTGCGCAGATGGCTTGATATCATCTTGCTGGTCTCGTATGTCGTCTTTTTCATCAAAGGCTAAACCAACCTCCAATTCATCATCAGAATCTGACTTGTTTAAATCTAACTGAGCGTAATTTAAATCCATTGTATGATCGAAACTCCCAGTATCTATCCGGGGCATAACTTGTGCTGGAAACAGAGAGTTTCTCCCTTGAGAGCATAAGCATCTATCTTCATTACGCTCACTGAGCGAGCGTAAGAGTGTATCATTTTTAACAGATGAGTCGGGATTTGCGAATCCGATGTTTTCATGAGAATCAGGACGTGTGGAAATCTCGAGTCCGTAGTTTGTCGAAGAAGTGTGACAACTAGTTTGAAGTTCGTTGTTGTAATTTACGGTATTATCTATGGTAGATATCAGATAAAAGTTCCTTGGCGGTATAGGTGGTGGCCCCGCAGATAGAGGGTCTGGTGTGAGACTTTTTCTGTTACACAAGGCACTGACAGAACACGAAGCCAATCCTGAAGGCTTGTCAGCTATCTCATGAAGGGATGCTGTCTGATCATAAATTACGACAGGCTCACTGGGATGAAAACTTAGTTTACCAGAGTCGCTTGATGGTTTGTAAGGATCAACGATAATATCTTCAGTCCCTTTTATTACCAGGCGGCAAAACGGACATGTTAAGCCATTGCTTGTGGATTGACAATTAAGTAAGCAATTCTTGCAAATCAAATGACCACAGGGTTCGAGTCGCGTATCTTTATTATTTTCATCACAAATCTTACATAATTCGAAGGTTGAACCCATTTCACAGTAAAGCTGATACTGTTCCTTTGTTACTTGTAAGTGAACTTGGAGTAGATTATTTGTTAAATAGTACAACAATGTGGTAGGACTGGGTTTCCCGTTTGGATATAAATAGAATCCCTCTCTTTCTCCATCAACCAACGCTTGTGCCAGGGATTTATTTTGTATTATAGTTTGTACGATTTTTAGTTCCTGTGTAATATATCCGATAGCCCACTGACCCAGTTTAGTACACGATAATCGAAAAATGTATGTTCCTGGACCAGGGTAAAAGCAGTAGCGTTTAAGAACACCTTTAACTTGATCATACGTCATGAACGCCATGTAACCGGGATGGAGGATGGCTAATGCTTTCCAGGTTTCCAGTATATTGTTCCATGGTTGAAACAATCTAGTAAATACATCGAACTCAAAAATGGATACATAGTCATTACAAGTTATGTCTATAGTCGTTTGGAGAGCCAGCAGTTGAGTATCAGAGTCTATCCTGAATGTTTGAATTAACGAATCTTTGAATAATTGCCAAGAAACAACTACACTATCCCCAAAATTGCTCAACCACCATCGAGCTGCATCAGGTTTTGTTATACGGAAACCCTTAGAGTCGAAAGTATCATGTGGGAAGAGGGCTTCCAAATCGTTTAGCAGATGTGAATATACTAGCGACAACTTAATCAGACGAAACCGTGCATCTGAGTTGATATCGAAAATTTTCTCTTTGGAATTTTTGAAAAGACTAATAGTTTGCTTGGATTTCTCAATCAAGGTCGAAATATATATTTGAAAGTATTCTATTTCAGAGAGTACATCATAATTTTCTTCGTAATTTGCAATTATTCTTTGTAACTTTTCATATATATCCGGAATCGTATCCAAAATATAAGGTGGACTGGCTTTCAAGCTCAACTTTGGTTGTTGGCAAAGACGCACAACTTTATCGAGATATTTATAGCAAAAGTTAACACATTTTCTGTCAATCATTACAAGTCTTCACAAGAAGTTTATATGCGATTGTGACTGACAGCATAAGTACCCTAAAAAATATATTGTGAAAATTAGTGTGTAATTGATTTATGGAGTTCAAACATTAAAGCAAAATATGTAAGGATGCAGCATCTAGAATGACGAACGTAACACACTGGACAGTATTACACTATGACAGATTTCTTAACTAACATTTGTAATTTTGGGATATAAAAGATTCAGTATTAGTGGAGGTATTATGAACTTGCCAACCCCCCCAGGTATTACAGAGGATTACAAGTTTAAAACCAGTGTCTTTTATCACTACTTATTAAACTTGGAGTTTTCGCCACGAAGTATACTGTGATTTTCTGTTTAGAGACAAAGAATCTCCACAAAAAACGGATAATTAAGATAATGCGAAATTCAAAGGGCTTGGCCATCGTATCAATATGAGGATTCATCAGTCTGTATACAAAGCAACCTGACAGTGATGGTCTAATTCATGGCAGTACTACTATCCCTTTCTATTCTCGAATTTATTATTTAGCTTACATGGACCATCGAAAATATGCAGCCAATTTGAGTCAAGTGTTTTACAACTAGGAAGCGCTTTGGGTAAATTTTGATTAAACAACAGATTTGTCTAAGAACTGTTGGTTTAGAACAATTACAAGAATCTTTCCCCAGCTAAACTTCGGCTGACCAGTTCGTGAACTATTCCCTCTAGGTTTAAAAACGGGTTCCTATGGGACAAGATACATCGGTTGCAGCCAGTACTTCATTTATTTAAACACATTGGTACACGGAAGCATCAAACAGATATACGCCAAATAAATCACTCGATTTGTGTGAGGGCCGGGATACTGTCTGTGTGCCCAAGTCGGAGCAGGTGGTGTTTTGGGGGAGCTACACCCAGAGCCTCCGACCTAAAAGCCTGACCCACAAGGTAATGGAGTGACGTCGGGAGATACAGTCCCTCAGGATCCTGTAGCCAATGTGGTTTGGGATCAGGGTTTTACAACTCCCCTAGGTAGATTCTCCATATCCACCAACCCGGTTAGGGCGCTGAACATTCGCTTTTTGTCCTCTTTGTTTCATTAACACCCCAGCCGCGAGAAGGCAGTGAGTAGGACTTCCCTCGCAGTGGTTGTATGCACGTGATCATGTGAGAGCATTTCAAAAGAGAAAGCCTCACCAGGGCATTCGGGGGCAGCCAGTACTTAGTGTGAACACATACACATTTTCACAAATTACCCCTTCAGGTTTCATAGTTGTATACATTTAAAAATGCATCATATTTTTGGCTGTTTTTTTCTTTTTATTATTGGATTTCCCGGCGATAACTGAACTCCATGGTAATATATATCCAAAACTACTGTAACTTGCTCCAGAAAATCTTGTTCTTTTAATTGCGGTGTCCGGAATTGTTAACGTCTTGTGAAAATAGTGAACACATAAATGACAGATCTTGAAGCCATGAAAAGTAGGCACATAAAACTACCGAGACCTAAAATCCTCAAGAAATTCCTAGTTTTTGCTTTACACTGACACTATCTGCATGTCATTTACGAATACAAATGCTCTTTAACTACTGTCCACGAAAAGAATTGATAGAATATGGTGTGATAGTGCAGTGAAGAAATAAAATCAAATAATAACAATAAAACACAGCCCTTTAGTCTTACTATTCAACTGAATCCAAAGAGACAACTGGAAGTGGATTCAGTTAACACTATATCATACACTTATGTTTAGCATATTTTCTCCAAGGAAAGTACCATTCACTATTTCAGCAAAGATTTACGTAACATTAGTATAGTGCAAATAAACTGGATTAAGGGGAATCGAGAAACGATTATTCTAAATTTTAAAATGATCCCTCTACTAATGTTCTTTGGTACAATACTTAATCTAGCATTCCCGAAATACTGAAAACACTGAACGTTTCAACTCTTGATGTTCACAGAATGATTTTAACGATCCTACATTAATGTTCAGTTAGGAAGCTGCTAATCGCTAACTTGTGTATTTATATTACTCCTTAGATTTAGTTCATTAATTTCCATAGAACTATTGTTAATATGGAGAAAACAAGTATATTATGTACTGGTTTCCAGGAGCATGGGACTCACGATCTGACCACGAGAACTATATGCTTCATCTCTGACTAAGATTTGTTAAGTCTAGCAGGCGAATTGACAGACTAAAACACGTATGTCGAATGGTCATCTTAATTTTCAAGCTCTAATCCTTAGTGACCAAGGATAAGTTCGGGGGCAGTCTCATTGAGAATTTTTTTAAAATGTAACCTTAGATTTACTCAGGTGTGGGATTCTTTCCAGAATTCACCCGAAATTTCCCAAAGGAATTGTTGATATTGGTAGCCCGAAGCTTAAAATTCGCTGTCAAAGAAACTACGGATCACTCCGTTTCTCTCACTGTGCGATAACTTTCTACAATTACGCGCTTTGGTACAATCTTCGTCGTGGGTGGTAATTATTTGCAGTGTTTTTACTTCCACAATCGTTTTCATTTTATGACAGCGAAAAGAACATTTATTTACAGCTTTTATCAGTTAAAGGTGTACATAATTAATAATATCGTAATTTTACCCTGTTGATGAAAATAAAGAACGCAAAATGCCACAGAAACATGAATACAGGCTTTCGAAGTGTGACTAGCATCCAAGTAGCGCGACTCTTAAAGAACGCTCTCTGACTTCCGAATGGTTCTGAGCGGAATAGGAGAAGCCTTGAATTGACGGGCTTCGATATTTAGTAGCAGTAGATCACCGATGTCTCCAGGTAGAACTTACGCACATATATAACGATAAAGAGAGGAATATTTGTAAATTATGTTGAAATCTAATTTAGTCTTGAGTTCTCAAAAATATGTGAAATTTCCACCTAAAGACACCTGGGAAGTCGCTTGGACCACCTTAGCCGGCAGCGAATTTCAGAATTTGAATACTCATAAGGAACAAAAGGTGTGCCTACAATCCATTCTGCTATTATGTGATTCGAATTTCTGGGTGTTGCCTCTTAGTTATGTGTTAGGACTGTGCTTAAGTATGCATTTAATAGTGCTCAGGAGAGTTTAGGTGGCTGCAACTCACTGGAAGGGCACTTTCGAGGCGTCTGTACTCTAATGGGAAAACATTTAGTAATTTGAGATGAATTTGAGCTCTCAAACTGATTGCGCTATTCATCATCGGATACAAACCAGCGTATTCCTGTTGTAGAACTCCGCCTGGAGTCCCTCCAGGGGCTACTGCCGGTCCCAAGCCCGGATAAAGGCGGAGGGTTGGGCATGGGGTTATCGACCTCATCCCGTAGAAAACTTACTCGCTAAAGAAACGCTAAACAGAAAAAATTGTTCAAACCTTTTAAACTCTGCTCTGGGAGTCAGAATGTCTTCATTTAGAAGAACTATGACGCCTCATGATGAAAGCCGAGTTCCTTCGGAAGTTACGAGGCCGATGCCCCTTCTGACAACCAGAGCAACCATTTATTTAGGTACATGGAATGTTCGTACAATGTGGGACACCGTGAGAGCCTTCCAAATTGCTGCAGAAATGAGGAGATACAACCTGGAGGTGCTTTGGATCAGTGAAACACATTGGACGCAAGTTGTCCAACAACGACTAGATTCAGGAAAGCTTCTGTTATAGTCCGGCCATTAAGAAGAAAATGCCCTACATACACAAGGATCTGCATTGATGATGTCCAAACGAGCACAAAAGGTACTTATAGGATGGGAATCTCATGGGCCAAGGATCATCAAAGCCTCCTTCAAAACAAAGAAAGAGGGGATTTCAATAAACATCATCCAATGTTACGCGCCTACCAACGACTACAATGAAGACGCTAAAGATCAATTCTACAATAGGCTGCAATCAATCATCGAGAAGTGCCCAAAAAAGGACCTGACCATTCTGATGGGAGATTTCAACGCAAAGGTTGGAACGGACAACACTGGATATGAAGACATTGTAGCGGTAAATAAATCCCCAAAATAAATAACTCTGTAAATTTTCGACATTGGATGCTGACCAGATTAGTTTTAGTGGACTCACCTAGCTGAAGACGCTCGGTCATGCATCCGTACCAGATCACGTGTGGGAACGCCGTACTCAACATCTACCGCAATCGCTAGCCAGATTGGATCAGAAAATTCCGATATATTGGCAATCGTCAAATACAACTTCTGATCTCCTCGACTCTGTCTTTTGATTTCTCTTGATGGGTACGAGTTATAATAGAAGGTGTTGCTGGTAAAAGCGTTGCCAAACACTGAATACCTGTGCCATCTTCATTGGTGAGACCGACGTGATCTGGTACAGCAAATCGTAAACTGTGAGTCTGTCCCATTTTGGGATCGTAAATGTCATTGCTTTATTTTAATTTTTTATACATTGTGGTATTTTTCCCCGTGTCTCAGGATATCTATATATTTTTCTCTAATATTCTCGTACTTAATTTTCACCTATGATCGAACAGACTCCTAAGGTATTTAAGATTAAGACCATGTCCCCACCCTCGTTCCAACTCCTGCCCTTCCGGCCCGACAATATCGAAGCCTGGTTTCGCTACGCAGAAGCCGACTTTCACGAGCACGGCGTGAATGACACACGTGCACAGTTCCTCGCAGTAGTCAAGGCACCACCGCGGGGATTCAACAGGTACGTAACATCTAGTATGTTTACTAGTGATGTTTCTGACCCGTACGAAACCTTAGAGCGTTCCATTCTTAAACGAGAAGATCTAACCGATCGAGAAAGGTTAGACCAACTCTTTAATAACATAGACCTGCAGCATGGTTCTGCGACGGACATGTTGCAACAGGTGCAAGCGGTTCTGGTCTCGTTTCAGAACAACGCCTTAGATGAGCTGGCTGCATCTGCCGATCGTATCTTAGAAATTACGAAATCTTCTACTACCGAGGTTTTTTCAGTCAAAGAAAAGCCTCAAACGACTCAGAATGACATAACCGAGTTATGTCATACACTTACGCGTTATCTTAATTTTCGCAACATCTGTAAGTGATCACACACCCCATGTAGAAGCATTTCACGTAAGTGATCTGTCTCTAGACCACGAGAGACGGATAATCCCGACGGGTGCTGGTATCCTAACCAGTATGGAAAGTCTTCCGGGCATTGCAGTAAACCCTGCATTTTCCAAACACAAAACCGACTGACTCGAAAAACAAGTCGGGAAACTTCCAAGCCGGCACGCGTTATCGGCAACCGTAGCCGGCGAACATAGCCGTCTGTTATACGTCACAGATGTGACAACAAGAGTTCGCTACCTCGTTGACACTGGCGCAGAAGTTAGCGTTCTCCCAGTGAATCTCAACGACCGGCTTCACGAATCGGCTCTAAACTTAAAGGCGGCAAACGGAAAACCTATCACTACGTATGGCAAAAGGTACGTTTACCTTAACGTGGGTTTACGCAAACCCATTCACTGGATTTTCGTTGTTGCAAATGTTTCTATGCAAATCATTGGTATGGACCTTCTACAACACCATAATCTAATCATCGATACGCGCAAACGGAGGCTGGTAGACGGAAACACTAATTTATCCGTTTGCGTAACTTCTTTTTCTGGTTGCAGATTATCCCCGGTCACAATTAAGCATACGATAGATCCACTTTATCAAACGCTACTCGATAAGTATCCTGGGATACAACAAACGCAACTGAAACTACCGTGTGTAACCAGCAACGTTACACATCACATCACGACTACAGGACCACCTGTTTTCTCTAAAGCACGACGACTAGCCCACGAAAAGCTAAGGTTGGAGAAAAACGAGTTCGGTCACATGATAGACTTAGGAATTATACGACCGTCAAACAGCTCATATGCATCTCCGTCGCACATGGTCCCTAAAAAGGACAGCAACGATTGGCGTCCAACTGGTGACTATCGGCGATTGAATGCGAAAACCATTCCCAATCGTTACCCGTTGCCTCATATTCAAGATTTGACAGCTACCTTGAAAGGTACAACTATCTTTCCGAAAATCGACTTGGTTAGAGCGTATAACCAAATCTCCATGGCCACAGACGACATGTCGAAAACCTCCATCATTACTCCCTTCGGACTCTATTAATTTTCGCAAATGCCTTTCGGTCTAAGAAACGCTGCTCAAACATTCCAAAGATTCATAGACGACGTTTTCCGAGGTCTCAACTTCGTACATGCGTATGTTGACGACTGCCTAATCGCAAGTCCAGACAGAGAATCACATCTCAAGCATCTGGATCTTGTTTTCGAACGACTACAAAACCACGGCATTACTGTAAACGTTCAGAAATGCCAAATCGGAACCGACTCATTTAACTTCCTAGAACACACTATAGATGCTCAAGTCATTCAACCCGTTAGGACCAAAGTGGCGGCAATTCTGGATTACCCAGAACCGACCACGATCAAGCAACTACGAACGTTTAACGGCCTTGTAAGTTTCTGTCGACGATCATACCTAAATGCGCGTTACTCATGAAACCTCTTACCGACCAACTTCGTAGAAATGCGAAATCCATTAATTTGGACGACACCGCACGTAAAGCATTCTCCACAATTAAGGAACTCATCGCTAAAGCAACAATGCTTGCACATCAGGACACTCAAGCACCCATTAGCATCGCGGTAGACGCATCCGACTCAGCAATCGTAGGAGTCTTACAACAATGGGTTAACAACTCCTGGCAACCTTTGGCATTTTTCTCTGGACGGTTGCTAGACACCGAACCGAGGCACAGCACATTCGGTAGGGAACTCCTAGCTATGTACTGTACTGTACGGCATTTTTAACATCATATCGAAGGTCGTGAATTCATCCCTTTCACTGACCATAAACCTCTTACTTTCTCGCTAAGCCCCTCTTCAGACGAGTACTCACCTCGTGAGTCTCAACAACTGGACTACATTTCGCAGTTTACTTCAGATATTCAACACATTTCTGGAGCAAACAATGTAGTTGCGGACGCATTGTCTCGTATAACTTCCTTGAACAGTTTCCAAGGAATCGACCTTCGGAAACTCGCCCAGCTTCAAAAAGAAGACAGTGATCTTCAGCACGAGTTATCGTCCACAACACTCAAGCAACGCATCAAACAGATTGGAACAGGTAAGGGAACCTTACTTTGTGACACATCTACAGGTGGGGATCGCCCAATCGTGCCGAGACATTATCGACGCAATGTCTTCAATACGTTGCACAAAATTTCTCATCCAGGTGTTCGTGCAACCATCAAGCTTATAGCAGAACGGTTTTTCTGGCGTGGCATGAATAAAGATGTGAGAGAGTGGGCACGCTCCTGTGTAAGATGCCAGAAAACTAAGGTAATTAGACACAACAAATGTCTCATAGGCTCATCTAAAACTCCCGACGTCCGTTTTTACCATGGTCATCTGGATTTGGTAGGACCATTACCAGATTCAAATGGATACTCTTATCTCTTAACCTGCGTAGACCGTTTCACTCGATGGCCAGAAGCAGTACCTATCAGGGACATCACTGCTGAAACAGTGGCCCGCGCCTTCATCGAATGATGGGTAGCAAACTTTGGCTGTCCTTCAACCATCACTAAGGACCATGGACGCCAGTTCGAATCTGAACTTTTCCGTTGTCTGACCACACTATTAAGAATCACTCACTTCCAAATGACTGCCTACCACCCACAAACAAACGGGTCGGTAGAACATTTTCAC